GTAGTCTAGGACCATTTTCTTTTTAGTTTAACAACTTTAAACAAGATGTCTCCTTGAGCATATCACTCTCTCTCTCTCTCTCTCTATTTGTCTGTCTATCTACTTATTCATAGTAGCTATTACGGTTATTGTTGTAAGACAGATTTTTCAATGTATATGACAACGATTTAGAAGTTAGTAGGCTAAGAATGTGTAGATCAATTCCACATTAAATAATCTTATATAGAAATTAAATTTAGAGAATTGGGGTTCAGTGTTTATAAAATAATGGAAGACATGATTCTTTTAGAAACACATGCACCATTGTTGCTCATGATGATTTTGGATAGAAACTAGTTTATAAGTATTAATGAACTACATAAAAATTGACTAGAAATTTAAAAATCAGTATGTCCACTGCTTTAGGTAGAAACTATATTATAAGTCATTAATTCAGTCATTAGTAAAATGACTTAAAAGTTTACTAGAAATCTGTATATCAGTGGGTTCTTAAACATTTTTAGATGATAGATTATTGAATCAACCATTACTAAAATTATTCAAAAGTTTACATTCTTAAAAAGATTTAGATAGAAACTAAGTTTATAAGTCATTATTCAGTAATTGTAAAAATGATGTATAAGTTTACTATAAATCTCTACATGAGGTCCCCCAGTGGAACAGTGGTAAGTCTTTGGGTTTACAATGCTAAAATCAGGGGTTCAATACCCTTTGGTAAACACAGCAGATAGCCCGATGTGGCTTTGCTATAACAAACACACAAACATCAGTAGGTTCTTAAATAGTTTTAAGTGATAAATTAATTATAAATCATTGAATCAGTCATTAGTAAAATGATTTAAGAACTTATATTTTTAAACAGTTTTAGGTAGAAACTAAGTCATTATTTAGTGATTAGTAAAATGATGTAAAATGTTTACTACATATGTGTATGTCAGTAGGTTCTTAAATGGCTTTAGGTATAAACTGAATGTGTTATCAATAATTCATTAGTTTGTAATTAAATTTGTTATTTGTTTTTATGATAATTTTGCTCTTTGTTTTACATTTTGTTATGACAAACTAAGAATCTGAAACAAACTTGACAGTTCAATGGATTTTAATTTACTAACTTGAAATATAGAAACGAATAAAAATCCTATAACCACAGCGCTTTTGAAAGGTGGACCTTTCTTCTTCAGGGGCAAACTGATAATTTCCTTAAGCTTTTCTTAACAACTGCTGCCCTCTATATGCATAAATTTTTGCTCACTACTAGCCTACATCCACATTTTTGCACATGTTACAGCTATATTGTAGCATGCAAACAAGGATGCGATAATCTCCTACTAATAGGAGTGCGACAGGCCCGGCATGGCCAGGTGGTTAGGCCATGGTCGACTTGCAATCTGAGGGTTGCAGTGTCAAATCTCAATCCCACCAAACATTCTCGCCCTTTCAGCCATGGGGGCATTATAATGTGATGGTCAATTCCACTATTCACTGGTAAAAGAGTAGCCCAAGAGTTGGTGGTGGGTGGTGATGACTAGCTTCCTTCCCTCTAGTCTTACACTGCTAAATTACAAACGGCTAGTGCAGATAGCCATCGTGTAGCTTTGTGCAAAATTAAAACAAACAAGGGAGTGCGACACACCCTCACGCAGCTGACTACCTTTATACTGTAGAACCCAATCTTCACTTCTCTATTTGGCATATGACATATTGCTCACCTTTGCTTTTTTCTTTCAGTTTAGTGGGTTTTGGACTTAGTTATTCTACATAGTATCTTTTCTTGGTTTTTGTAGTTCATTTTATACCCAAGAAAATTCAGATGTGAATTGTTTTTAATTTTTTTGCTTTAAAATGAATTCTCAGCTTTGTGTTAACACTACTTCGACTGTTTCTGATACCCCAGCCTAATAACCTGCTGTTACTGTGGCTTCAGGAACAACTTTATCTGCTGAAGAGGTTTCAGCTCTAGTCCACCAGGAATTTGAATTTCTCATGCAGCCTGGGAGTTTATCTGAACTTCATGATAATGATGATTTGGACAGCATTATTCTACCAACCTCCTTTGCTGTGCTTTCGCTTTGTATACCTTTAGACGTGCCTCAGCCTTCATCTGCTTTCCTGGAATTAGTGACACAGGTTTGTTTTATTTTGTCTTTATCCCCTATTTCTTATTATCCTTCTCATTCCCTTTTACATGATTACACTTCTTATGATTATTTGGTTCTCCTTTCATCTCCTAATATCGAGGTCTATGCTGATCATTTTGTGGATCAGTTGAGGTTTGGGGTCGGTATGTCTCATCCAGTTATGAGTCTCATGATTTAGCCTGTCATTGCTCTTCAACTCAATTCCCAAAATTTGGAATCATTAATTTAGGTTTGGGGTTTGGACCCCGATACATCCATTTATTTTTTTCCATGCCCAATTTTCCTGCCTTCGTTTAACCCTTACTACACTTCTACTTTACCTTTCCTCCATACACCTCTTCTCTAAAGCTATTCATTGTTCCTCCAGGGAGTTTTCGGTAGAAACATGTCCTCTTCTTTTTCCACACCTTTGCTGTTTGGTATCAATGTTCTTTTAGCTAATGTGCATCTTCTCCCACGTATTTACATGATTTATGAATGGTCCTCTTTCTGCATCAAACTGTATTTGGTGATCACTCAGATTTGCTGGAGTCTTGTGTAGAGGCTGCTTGTCAGCACACTTCCCTATCCTCCCTTATTACTTGTCTGTCACAACCTGCTCATGTCCTTTTTCTTATTCCTCTCCTTTTCCTGTTCCTTTGTTATGGGTTTTGGCATTGAGTCGTCATATTATTCACCACTCTTGCATGCTGCCAACAGTTCCGCCTTGGATCCTCTTCTTCCTTCCATCCTTATAGGTCAACTTTACTTGGTGGTTCAACAGGGACAACACCTAGGTTAGTGTTCCTCTTCCACCTCCCCATCCAGATATGCACCTTTTCACATATGCTTCTCTGATGGCTATTTAGACTATTAAGAGGTCTTTGGTCTAGTCAGGGTTCTATATCAGTTGTTTGGAACTTTAGTCTGTGTGTCAGGCTTTGGCTCATTTCCTTACGGTTTTGTGGGGCAAACCATTTACGATTCATTCGAACAAATGGACAGTTACCTCCTACATCAGATGGCAAGGGGGCACCCATTCCCTGTCTTTTCTAATGTTGGATCTTCTTTTCTAGGCCCATTCTTAGTGTGTTTGCTTCTTGGCTTGTCATATCCAACATGCTCTCAATCTTCTTGTGGATCATATGTCACATCCTGACAAGATTCTCCCCATAGTCCCTCGATTCTTTGATCTTAAAGTGGTTGTGTTAGCTGGATGTGTTTGCCACTCACCTCAATGCCAAACTGTCTCTATTTTGGTCTCTCGTTCCTCATCCTTTGCTTTGGCTGTCGATGCCTTTATTGAACTGGCCTTTACCTTTATACCTTCCTTTCAATCTGTATCCTTCCCAAGGTTTTGTCCATCATCCACACCATAGTTCCTGTTACTTTGCCCACTTCAGTCATCACCTTCATTACGTCTTCCACTATTCACATCCCTTCTCTGCCAGTCTCACTCATCCATGTTGCATCCTGCCATTCTCACACTCCAACTTCACACGTGGATTTTGTCTGATCCCTTGCAAAGGAGGTTGGACTCTCCTCTCATGTATCATTGCTTCTTTCTGTTTTGGTTCGGCCTTTATCCTTGTCAGTGTATCAGAGGAAATGGCGATTTTTTTGCCATTGGTTTCTTTGACGAGGTTTCCTTCCTTTTTGTCCTAGTGTACTTCATCTTTTCGACTTTTTCACTTGGCTATTTCTCAATGGTCTGTCTGTCTCGACTGTGTCAGCTTACAGGGCAGCCTTGTCCTCTACCTTTCATTTCTCCCTAGTCTGCCAAGTTTTTAACTATCCTGCCCTTTCCCTCTTGTTTCAGTCCTTTAGTATCCTTCATCCTCCTCGCCCTACTCCTTTACTGGCTTGGAATCTTAATGTTGTATTGCATGCCTTTACTTTACATCCTTTTAATCCCTTATCTTCTTGTACCCTATGCCATCTTTTCTTGAAGACTTATTTTCTTCTCCACTTTGTTTGAGGTGATTGCAATTCGGATGTATTCGCCCATGACGTTCTTTTTTTATCCAGATTGTTCTTTCCTTTCTAAGTCTTCTGTGGTTCATGAAGGCTGTTTTGCTTTCACTACGATTTCATTAAATTCAATTTCCCATTCTTATCAAGATTTACTTCTTTGTCCTGTCCAGGCCCTCAGGTGTTATGTTGCTTGCATGACTTTCTTCTGTGATTCCTGTTCCTTCCTCTGTATCCACTGGAACCCTTCTTCTCCCATAACCCTTTCCATATTACTCTTACAGGTTGGGTTAACCAACTTATTCATTTGACTTACTCCTCCTTGTCCCCTGATTCCTTTCATCATTTTAAGGTCTCTGTTCACCAGATCTGACAACTTACTATGTCCCTAGTTGCTCATTTCCATTGTAGGAGATAATCTGGGCTGCCATGTGGATCACACAGCACATTTTTGTCTCCCATTATCTCCATCATTTGGCCATTTATGTTGAGATGGGGTGTTCCATCAGTAGATTTATTGTATCATAAGTATGCCTGCCCCAGACCGTACAACTCATGGACCATCATGAATAACATAGGGAAGAGATTATTGCTCATATGTTCATTCCTGTTTTTCAAAATAGGATATCTGCAGTCAACCATTGCACATTCTCTGGTGTTGCATTCCTCCAAAATTTCCACTGCAATATATCCCCCATCTTCTCATGGAACATGGGTTTTCTTGCCACTTACCAGCTCCGAATTGCTGGGATGGTGGACTATGGAGGCTTCCTCCTGAGTGTGCTTAATGCCATTCAGTTGAGAGTAGGGCAGTGGTGTTCTTCCAGTGTAGATGGTGGTCACTCTCCTCCTACAATGTACCTGATGTACAATACCAGATGCCACCTGGTGATGGACTGGATGATTACACCACATGCAGTTCACCCCTCTGGATGGAAACCCTCCTTCCTACTGCTGCCTGGATGTGCTGGTGTTGGTTGGAGCTGGAGTGGCCATCTTAAGTCCACACACACATGTGGTTGTGCTGAGACCCTTCTCCTACTGCAGACTGGATGATAATTTTCCAGTGCCGCATGGTTTTGGACTGGAGTTGTATTCCACTTTCTTAGTATCACCCGAATGTCAGGTTCCCAGGTGGCTGGTGTTGGTTGTGCAGTGAGTTTGTATACATGTGCTGACCTGGGTTTTTGGAACAGAAGTCCTCTTTCCCATCTTATTATTGAGTTTGAGGTGAAGACAGTAGAGACACTCAATGTGGCCTGGACAATCCATTCCTGGTGCCACCTGCTTTTGGACTGGAGTTGATCCACCAAATGCAAGCTGTAGTGCCCTATCCGTTTACACCATTGAGCGTGTCCAAATTTCTTTGGTTGTGCTTCTTATTCCACCCATTTAGCAACACATATCTTCACAACAAATGTGGTACAGTTTTTTATGGGTGTGTTCCTCTACACTGAAATGTCTCACTCCATGGGCTCTCTTCGAATGTTTTTGAAAGGGTGCTCATCCAGGGTTGTTGCATATTCATTTGCATACTACAATGTACCTGTAATACGTGGATGTAAGTGGGAGCACAAGGATAGTGGTGAGTGAAAATTTACACATGCAGAGGGCAGTAGTTGTTGAGAAAAGGTATTATGTGAGTCGATTTATACATGTAGGAAAATGTTAACATTCAGATATTTTAGGTGAAAATGACATATACTGGATGTGTGTTTATCATCTGAGATACAGCTGTCAGTACCCTTATTAATTTTTCAAATTGTGATAATGAATGCAAATGCTACATATTCTCCTGGATAATTCCTATTATTTTTCATATAAACAGTTATTAAATCTAATTTGCAGTTAAATCTTAATGATTTTCATTAAAGTTATTTTCTTGTAATGTTCATTAACAAATGAATTGTAAACACAATAAGCGTAACATTAAAATTTCATCATACATGTATATAACTCTTGGCCTAGAAAGTGGTCTTTGAAGGCTTGAAAATACCTTGAATTTTAATCTTGTTAAAATGTGTTATTGTTACACCTTTTTTTGTATTTCATAAAACTTCTTTTGTAATTTTTTTTAAATTACAGAAGCAGAAAATGTAATTACTGCTAGCTAAACTTCAGTTCTTTCAGAAGTATTTTTCTTTTTCCAGTGTGGCCCAACTATCTCCCCAACTTCAGCAAAGGAAATAACCTCTCAATCTAATGCCAAAGTACAGGTAGAAACAGTAGCAACTCCTGATTGTGAAATAATGTCATCTCGACTTCCAGGTACCTTTCCTTCCCAAGCTTCAGCGCAGTATCTGGATGCTAGTTTTTTTCTAGAGAAACAACAATATCATCTCTTAAGGTCCCAGTCGATGACAATTCCACGATTTGGGTCTGCTTCTTCTGGCACTGCCATTATCACAACTCAGCCATCTCGAGTTGATGCTGATATACCATGTCTCTCATTTAGTGCAACAGAATCATTAGTTAGTGGGATTTATTCCCCTATTTCACAACCAAATGGTGTAACAAGTTCTTGGAATGAAGCAAAATTAATGACAGATGGCATTCCATCTTTTGAAATGCTTACTCAGCCTGCAATTGTTATTAGCCAACCTACAAGCATCATAACTACAGCAGTACCCACTACGATCCCAGACCTTCAAATGTCAATCACCATGGCTCCTTCAAGCTCATCTTACCAAGCAAATGGGTTTAGTCACAAGCCTGTTGGTGCAACTAATCTACAAGACTTGAAGCTAGAGCTGCAGAAATTGCATGGCACTCTTTGTAGTTCTGCAAGTCAGAAAGCCGGTAGCAACCAAGGTTTGTCATAATATTCTGCTATTAAATTTCAGTTAACCTTACAAACAAAATTTATCTCTCATAAATGAATACAAATTACATATGAACTATTCATCTTGGAATTAAAAATTAGTTACTAAGACAAATTAAAGTAAGATTTTACTGGGATATTGTAATCTATAATAATAAAAGTGCGTGTCTGTGTCTATGACCACCATAACTTCAAGAGGAAAGTACTTAGAAACCTGAAATTTTACACACATACTATGTGGACCCTGAGGTTGTGCACTTAGGTATTATTATTTATCCATGTGCTTGTGCACATCTTTTTTATGGGGCAAGCTAGCAAAAAAGCACATAGAAAAGAATATGTAACCACCATACCTCAAAGAGGAAAGGACCCAGAAACCTGAAATTTTACACGTATACTAAACGGACCCTGAGGGTGTACACCTGGGTATTATTACTTATTCACGAGCATGTGTGTGGGCGCATCTTTTTAATGAGGTAAGCTAGCAAAAACCACATAGAAAAGGAGTGTGACCACCATAGCTCAAAGAAGAAAGAATCTAGAAACCAATAATTTTGCACCCATACTAAGTGGACACGGAGGATGTGCACCTGGGTAGTATTTATCCATGTGCATGCACATCTTTTTAATGAAGCAAGCTAATAAAAAACCACATAGAAAAGAATTGGTTCCTGATATTACAAATAGAAATCACATAGAGACAGACAGACACTCAGTGCAATGTGTGCACTTGGATATTATTACTTATGCACGTGCATGCACACGTATCTTTTTAATGAGGCAAGCTAGCAAAAACCACATAGAAAAGAAATGTGACTGCCATAGCTCCAAGGGAAAAGAACCTAGAAATCTCACAGTGTGCACACATACTAAGTGGACACTGAGGGTGTGCACCTGGATATTATTACTTTTCCACGTGCGGGTACATCTTTTTTTTATGAGGCAAGCTATTGAAAAGCCACATACAAAAGAAGTGTGAATATTGTTACCAAGGTTTTGATATATGAATAAAATTCTCTGAGATACTGTCAAGTCAAGAATAATCAACAAAATCAGTAGGAACTTTTCAGTGTACCAGCAATATCTTCTTAGTTGCCACTGAATATTATTTCTCTCAACAAAGCACATTAGCAGTTTAAAATGATTCTCTTATTTCCACAAATGTAATATCAGTTGCAAGCAGTAATTCTCTTAACTTAGAAATGCATGTGGGTGTTACTTATCCACATGCATGCGTGTGTACATCTTTTTAATGAGACAAGGTATTGAAAACCACACAGAAAGAAGTGGGTTCTTATATTACAAATAGAAATCAGAGACAAACAAAAAAGCATGTTGGTGTGCATGCACATGCAAATCTTTTTAATGAGGCAAACTAGTGAAAACAACATATAAAAGAAGTGGTTTCTTATATAACAGGTTAGCAAAAAAACATAAGAAAGAAGTGGTTCCTTATATAACAACTTCTAATATATAGAAAAAGCCAATGCATTTTGGTAACAATGTTTTCCAACAATGGCTTTTATGTTAAGTTGCTTAGCAATAACCTAATATTGTTGTTAGTCTATGTGCTGAAAATATAGAATGAAATGTATAAACCAGAAAACTGGAAAAATATTTGTTGTTTTCTAATCTAGAGTCTTGGTTGAGTAAAGAGGTTTGTTTTTTATTAAAAATGTTGGTGATGTAACAGAAAATACCTTAATTCAGAAACGATTTAAGTTTAAAATCAAGTGTGACATGACACACACTGGCTTTTATATAGGTTAGATAATGTGACGTATTGTGTCGTCTATAATTATCTATAACATATTCATCTAGAATATATCAACCTAATAAACCGAGCGAAGCTGGGTACTTTCGCTAGCCTATACAAATTAAAGGGCATGTGTAACTCCAAGAGGAAAGAACTAAGAAACCTGAAATTTTGTACCCATACTAAGTGGACCCTGAGGGTGTGCACCTGGGTGTTACTTATCCACATGCATGCGTATGCATATCTTTTTAATGAGGCAAAATAACGAAAAACCACACAGAAAAGAAGTGGGTTCTTATATTACAAATAGAAATCACAGACAAACAAACAAGCACGTGGGTGCACATGCACATGTGAATCTTTTTAATGAGGCAAACTAACAAAGAACAACATAGAAATAAAGTGGTTTTGTATATAACATCTTCTAATATATAGAAAAGATTGTGTTTTGGTAACAGTGCATTCAGCAATGGCTTTTACATTCTCTTGCTTAGCAACAAAAGTATATAGGTTATACTTTCATGCTAAAATGGGTTCAGAATATGCATACTGACAGTCATTTAGAACACATCAACTTTATAACCTGAGCAAAGCCAGGTACTTTCACTAGTATATTAATTTTTTAAGAGTTTCTTGCACATTTATTGTATACTATCTCTTTTATTTTTTTAGAGAGCTATCAATTATGTCGGAGTGTTTCTCTACCCACTGGAGTTTCAGCCCCTACAAAGCAGGTCACCAACAGATTTTCTCGGTTTCATGTAGCACCAGTTAAAGATGATCCTCTTATTTCCACAAGTCTCACATCAGTTGCAAGCAGTAATTCTGTTAACTTAGAAATGCATGTTAGTGTCTCAACAACTATGAGCAACTTTTCACCCTCTGCCAGTTCACAGTTAAGTCAGAGTTCTTTCAGCAATTTCGTTTTGCCTACCGTACTCAGCACATCTCCCCATCCAAGTGTTTCAACATCAGGTATAATGCTTAGTCCCTCAGCTCTTCCAGTTGTCAGTCAGGGCAGATTCCAAATACAAACAATTACAGATGATGTAACAATTGCTGCTGCCACTCAAGCAGTTTCATCTGACAAGAAATGGGATGCAAATGCAAATATAGTGACAATAGCATTCAGTTCTCAAAAATCCTATACTACCCCTCCAAAGGTAAGGACCCATACACTTTTTTTTTACATTGAAATCTTTTGATGCTGTAAGAGGTTAATACATCTGAATCAAACTGTAATGTAGGTTGGCTCTTGAATATGGAGTATAGTGTCTCAAAGTAATGAAAGTTACAAGAGAACTTGAGGAGAAAAACCAGCAATCAAAAGTGAAAACTTTAAAGAGTTCTCATATAGAAGTTAGTCATAGAAATATTGCTTAGACACTAGTGAAACTAACTCTGTTATTCATTTAAGTTCCTTCAAATTTTACACAGCTGAAAATCTACATCAACTCTCCTAAAAGTATGGCAATAAACCCTTGAGTTTCTGACACAACAAAAAAGAGTGATTGGTGCCTGTTAGATCATTTGGCCCAAATGAAAAAATTAGGAGGATTGTAGAAAAAACATTTGCAATTAGTTTATTTGATTTTTATCACAAATGCTAAGTCTATTGGTTTCTAATGCTTTGTCAGCTTTTGGGGTTTAAACCACAGTACTTTAAGAGTTTGTAAAGATGTTTCTTCTATTATCTCTAGCTGCTCATTGTGAAAACCCAACTTAATATCATTTCTTTCAGATGTGAACATGTAAGAAAATTTGAAAAAGTTAAAAAATAGTTGATTTGTGACTAATTGTATTGTTTCATGTTGAAGTACTTGTCTATTATAAACAGGTATAGTATAAGATTCTCACATCATATGTAAAATAGTTACATAACATTTGATTGATAGACCAGCCTGGTATTTGAACTTGTATATTAAAACTTCAGTTGTGAAAGGCTGCATCCCTCAGTGAGACCACAAAATAATTGTATACTATAATTCCGATACAGTATATTATCTCCTCTCACAGGTATAGCTATTCTCGTTCAGTGCTGCTCTCTATTTGCAAATTTTTTTTCGCATGCCACAAGCTTTGAGCTCCCATGTACCCTATGATCAATGTGGTTCATGTGTGTCTCACATGTAAATCATCATGCTGCAACTCTCCACCAATAGGAGTGCGACACACCCTCCTAACATGTGACTCCGTCTCTTCGATTCCACTGAATTATCACTTCTCATTTAGCAATGCTCATGGCGACGTTTTTCATTGTACTCTTCAATTGTTTTGTTCTAAACATAGTGATTTTTTGAATTTTTTTTAACATTAATTGAACGTTTTTGTACTTTATTCCAAAGTAGAATTGTTCTTCTCAGTTTTCATATGTTCGTGAACATAAGGATAACTTACTTTTTTTTCTAATTTTTCATTTATATATTTTAACACTATTGTGTTTGGTTATTCATCTTTAAAGATAAATTTCGAAGTTCAAGTTACCACTTCTGAGGTAATACCATCTACTAGCACACTTCCATAAGCTGTAGGTGGAGGAAACTCAACTATGGAATTATTGCCTCTCATTTGACGAGAGACTGATCGTTAAATGAGTCAATCTTCTTTTCCTGATGTTGCCTATTTTTCTCTGGAACATGCTGAATCTGTTCAGGCTGATGAGGAATTTGACACTCTTTCTCCTCCACTTGTTATTGCCGTGTCTTCCTATGCCCCTTCTGTGAAATCAGCTAGGCCTAATACAGCTTTTTTTGGGCATGATTTCTCAGGTGTGTTCTGTTCTATGAATTTCTCAGATTTCTTATAATCCTCTTCCTTCCTTGTTACACTATTGTGTTTCTCCCTTCCTCAGATATTAGGGTTCATGCAATGTTTTGTATTTCAGATACATAAGGGCACTAGCATGCTTTGCCCACCATGGGATCTGGATCAGTTTGCTTTAGTTAAACCATCTTACCCTATTGACTCTCCTACAATACTTGTCCACCATCCACCTCCTTTCAGAAGTGCTTCATCGAGATCCTGTGGGTTTTTCGAGGAATACCCTCCCCTTGATTACCTCCACATTGGCACGTTTGATTTCTTTGGCTCTTTCCTTACACACTTGGTTTCTCTGTTGTTGGGATCTTCTGGGGAGAGATGCTGTATAGTCCTAAGTTTGTTTACCACCTACTTATCTTTGGGACTTATGTTTAGCCCCTTTTCTCCAATGATCTATTTTCAAAGATATTCCTGAGACTTTAGAATTCCGTGAGAAATCAGTGAGACAGCAATCGACCCTTTCATCTTTGGTTGATTCTTTGTCTCATTCTGAGTCCAGACAAACCCCTATTACTGTTTCCATCCCACTTTTTCCTAGCCTTTACCAGTTCCTACCTCTAGGGTTTTCTCCACTCTTTGTATTTTGCCACAGATCTTTGGTTTACTCGGGTATCATCTGAGGGACTTGTCATCCACTTCCTTTCCCCTCTTCCATCATCTCAGGTACCCATATCATTTCCATTGCCTTGGGATCCTACTACAGTTGACATCTGTTTAAGGCAGTAGAGAATCTTCTCTCCCAGAAAGCCATTGAATCTGTACCTCATCCTTTTCCAGGTTTTTATTCCAGACTGTTTGTGGTACTCAAGAAAACTGAGCTAGAGAAGTCATTCCTTATACCCACCCAATAACTCGTCCATTTGGGTGTCCTTTTCAACACTTATCTCAGTTGGGCCCAACCTTCTCCTCTTTGACTCCATTTAATGGAGCTTCAGTTCTATATGCTGTTACTGCTTCCTCTTTCCCAGGGTGATTTCAATCATCCACACTACTCGTGATGATGACAAAACCTTGTCGAAACGTTGTACATTTGCTGTTATGTTAAACTTATATTAAAGTTTTCTTCATTACCCATTCAAGCCGTCTCCAGCCATTATTAGTCTCAAAGTGGGTTCCTCGTCATCGAATAAGAAATATATCACTCACGTATGTAGTCGTTTGTTTTTTTGCCATCGACTCTCCTTCTATATTAGCCCTGCTACTTTACATCAATACTACTAGTCCACAAACTATTTTAAAGTAAATAATGCAGGGAATAACACAGAATATTTTCATATGAACATCTGAGAAACTGGTGTTTCTGTGAGAAATTTTCTGGCTCTCTAATCTAATTGAACAATTGGAAATTTGACTGTAGCTCCCACTATGTTCTTGTGGGGAAAAATTCTCTAAGCTAAATTGTCAATTATCTGTAACATCACATGGTATAAAACATACACCAGTCAGTCAGTTGAAGTCTAAGCTATCTATTGCTTATAAATTTAATGGGAGTCAGCCTTAGAAAAATCTATCAACAAAATGTAATTTACAACAAGGTAGAGGTAGATGTGGAGAGTGGGTCAAAAGTAAATATTCATTTGACCTTTTAATAATTATTCATCCGTTCATTTTAACTATTAAAAGTGCTTTGTACATAAGAAAGCCTTAAATTACAAAAGTTTAAAAAATTTCAAGAAAAAGTAAGTATTATTTTTTAAAACTTAATGCATAAATAGCTTTATTTTATAATATATTCCCTAAATATCTTTACACTACTTGCTAAACTATTTTATTGACCTACCTAGTTAATAAATGACAACATAAAGTAATTAATGATATGACCATTAATTTGTTTTTATAATTAAAGTGAATGAACATTCAGTTGTTACCCTTAACTTTATGTATAAAATAGAGCTAAGAGCATATCTTTTGGCATATCTCTTTTAAATGTCATTTTTAAATTACTTACAATCATGAACACATGCAATACACATACATGTCTTATATTATGCAATCATAGAATAATTCTCAAAAATAATTTTTATCTTTTGATTATCTCTGTAATCTGTTCTGAAACATGGAAAGAAAAATACGAAAGTGGTTTCCAGAAAAGGAAAAAACAAAAGGAGAAACTAGAAAAAGAAAAACCTGCTTTAGAGAAAGTTCCCAAGCTATCCAACTTTTTCTCAGTTTGTAAGGAAATAGAAGAGCAGAACAACCCAACCAGCCCTTTAAAGGACAAAGCTTCTACCCTGAGTGATTCTCAACCCACTGTTGCAACTAAAAATTCTAACACAAGTGCAGCTTCATCCCCTTATCATTAACAAAAGGAAAGAGCATGTCAGATTGAAAATCTCATTACTAATTCTGGCAAGGAAGACGAGATCTCTCATCTGATCCAGCATTATGGCCAGTGGACAGGAAAAGAATAATAGAATTTTGGAATCGCAAAAATATGATTTCAGAACAAAATATAGCAGAACAAGATTTTTCAGCATCAAAGAGAGGTATGCATTCAACAGATGTTCAGAGATGCTGTTCATTGAACTTTCTAAAGATTAAATTAAAAATGACGAAACAAAAAAAAAAGAGATTGGTTGATTTATTCTCTTTTGTCTGGAAAAATGTTCTGCATTCATTTTAAAGATTCTGATGACTCTTTTATAAAAGGATTATGTGATTGGTCACATGGTTCTAAAGCTATACAAAACCATGAAAAAATTAAAGCCCACAATTATTCTGTGCACTGCTGGATGGGAAAAACTAATAACATAGAAAATGTGGATTCAAAGTTAAACAGTGATTTAGAAAATGAAATAAGATATTGGTGGGAGGTATTGTGTCGAGTTGTTGAATGTCTAAAATTCTTATGTGGAAGAGAATTAGCACTTAGAGGGGATAGAGAGAAGACTGAAAATTTCAATAATTGCAACTTTTTAGCTGCATTAAAATTTGCAACTAAATTTGATCCATTCTTGGCCAAGCATCTTGAAATGCATGGAAATAAAGGCTGGGGAGTTACCTCACATTTATCCTCCCAGTTTATGAAGAAATTATTATTTTGATGGCTAATAAAACTTGTGAGACAATTGCTGATAAAATTCATTATGCTAAATACTTTTCAATTATTGTAGATTTCTCACCCGATGTCTCATGCTCAGATCAGTTATCTATAATATTACGAAGAAGGTGATACACAATAGTATTTTGTTGGTTATGATTCATCAAGTGGGCATGCAGGAAAATTAATAGCTGAACTTGTCATAGAAAAATTAAATAATATGGGAATCACATTCAAAATGCACGTGGACAATCGTACAATAATGCGGCAAATATGTCCGGTAAATACAATGGCCTAGAAGTG